GCAGAGAGGGCAATTCCAGATAAAAGGAGTTTAGAGGAAGCAGGGGCAGGCTGGAGGTTGTTAGGGCCTTGTCCACAACACTTACTGGTTTTTCCAGACGGCAGGTCAAGTCCACAACAGAGACATTGGGGGTTGGCACACGGAAAGCCATTCCAGTGAGTTTCCTGGGAGAGACACGAGTCAGCAGGCAACAGCACCAAGCACCCCTCTCTGCCAGCCCTCCCTTCTGCTAGAGAGCATCAAGAGCTGGCCAGGCACTCGTTGCCTGCTTCTGACACCCAGGAAGGGACAACACTCACCCATTGAGCTCAGGGATAACTTTTCCCACAGCCTTAGCAGCCCCAGTAGATGCTGGGATAATGTTCTGGGCAGCGCCTCTGCCATCTCTCCACAGCTTCCCAGAGGGCCCATCCACTGTCTTCTGCGTGGCTGTGATGGCATGAACTGTGGTCTGGGGAAAGAGAGCACAGGGGTAAGAACACAGCCAATGCTCTCCCGAAAAAGCATCCCAAGGGACACAGGGAGTACAGATGCTTTTCCTCTCACGTGAGGGGACCTGGGGATAGGGCACCCTCCTGAGCAGCAAGCTCCAGACCTACCATAAGACCCTCCACGATGCCAAAGTTGTCATGGATGACCTTGGCCAAGGGCGCCAAGCAGTTAGTAGTGCAAGAGGCATTGCTGGGGAAGAGAAAGGAAAGGTGGTCAACTAGAGGCAACACGCCTACAAAGGTGAGATGAGACCCGACATAGCTGGCGAGAGCTCCAGGACAGAGCGCTCTCTCCTTACCTGACAATTTTCAGAGACTTGTCATACTTGTCATGGTTGACACCCATCACAAACATGGGAGCGTCAGCTGAGGGGGCAGAGATGATAACACGCTTAGCACCACCCTTCAGATGAGCCTGGAAAAAGAAAAAGAGATTAGATAACCTAGAATCCCTCCAATAGTTCACTTCTCCCAATAACCTCTTCCCTGTCTTGAACGACTTCACACATGGTGTTTTGTCCCTTCTCCTGGGTGCCACTGTGGCATATACTCACCCCGGCCTTATCCATGGTGGTGAAGACACCAGTGGACTCCACAACATATTCAGCACCAGCATCTCCCCACTTGATGTTGCTGGGGTCACGCCTGAGGAGGGGCAAAACGGTCAGAGCTGCTCTGCAAGACATCTGCTTTCATCCTCCAAAGGGGCAAGAGGGAGAGATACTTACTCCTGGAAGATGGTGATAGCATTCCCATTAATCACAAGTTTCCCATTCTCAGCCTTGACAGTGCCCCGGAAGTGACCATGAGTAGAGTCATATTTGAACATGTAAACCTAGTGAGGAGAGAAGGGGGGGGAAGGTCAGGCACTGCAGCTGCCATCTCCCCAACCCTTGCTCTGCCTACACCACGCTCTCAGCTCCCCACCTCCCACCTCCTCAGTGACCTTGTCCCAACTACCTCAATGTAATCGGCTCTGCCGAACCCACCAGCCCTCCCCCCCGTGCCCCTACCCCCCCACACCAGCTCCTCCTGGGAAGCTACTAGAACAGAGCCAGAGCAGCCCTACTCTCAAAGGCCCAGAGGGGGCACTGCAAGGCAACTCACCATGTAGTTCAGATCAATGAAGGGATCGTTGATGGCCACCACTTGGACTTTGCCAGAGAGGATGGCAGCCCGGGTGACCAGGCGACCGATGCGGCCAAATCTGGGGAAAGACGGACACAGGTGAACAACAGCAAACCTCCTGGGCTGGGGACGGCCCGCTGCCTCCCTGCGAGATCATCTGCTGCTCCCTCGCCCAGCAGGGCAGGAGGAAGGCCAGCGGCCATGTCCAAAGGCCGAGGTACTGCGGTTAAAGATTAAGAGCGACCCCCGCACCGCAAAGGTCAACTGCTAAATTTACTGAGGGCCCGGGGGATCTGGTTACTCCTCAGAGAAGGTCACATCCCCCAGGCCGCCACCGACACATGATCCATCAGGCGACCTTTTTTTGGGGGGGGGGGCACCACAGCCTGCAGGCGGCAGGGTGCAGGGACCCCCGGGGATGCCGGGGCGGGCAGGCCGGCAGCGGCGGCTCTTCCGGGGTGAGTCACCCCGAATCTGCAGGGGGAAGTGACTCAGCAGCTCTCCCTGCCCCAGTCCCTCAGCCAGACACGAGGGGCGACGATGGAGCAGGACCAACGGGGGGGGGGGGTTACAGCTCCCGCCCGCCCTTGAGGCGACCTTGCCCCCCCCCCTTCCCCTCATCCCCCTCCCGCCTCTCCGAGGCGACCTCGCTCCCCAATTCCTTCATCCATCCCGCTCCCATCCCGCCCCCGGGCACCTCCCGGTGCCGCAGCCCTGCCCCGGCGACTCACCCATTGACTCCGACTTTCACCATCTTCGCCTCTTCGGGATGTTTCTACGGGCAGAAATCGCCGGTGAGGCGCGTGGAGGGGGCAACCGGCCACCGCCCCCGGCGGCCGCGCCTCGCCCTGCCCGCCCCGGGCACCGTGAACGAGTCGCCAGCCACCGGGGGGGGGGGGGGGGGGGGGGAGAGAGAGAGAGAGGGGGCGGTCCGAACCCGCCCCCCGGGGCGATATCCCCCCCATGGTCAAACAGCACCCCCCCCTCCCCAAATCTCACCGCCCCCCCCCCCCCCCCCCCCCCACTCCGCCCTCACCGCCTCCATCTTGCGCCACACGGCTCCGCACCGCCTTTGTGCCCGGCGGGCCCAGCGCCACGCGGCCCCGCTCCGCCCGGGGGCTGCCGCCCTCCTCCTCCCCCACCACGCTGGCGGTGCGGCGTCCCCGCGTGTTCGCGTCCCCGCTCCCTCTCCCCCCCCCCACCAGCCGCCCCCCCCCTCTTTCCTTGCGCATCTCCTCCGCACCGCCCCCCGCTCCCCACCGTTACCTGCTGCCTCCAAGCCGCCCCGTCACGCAGTGAGAAGGTGGCGCAGCGCCGCTCCGCCGCTCTTTATACCCGCGGAGGGGGAGGGCTGGGGCCCGCCCCGCCGCGCCGGCGGCGAATGGGGCCGTGGGGGTGGGACCGGGCTACGTGCGGCCGTGCTGCGGGTGCGGCTGCCCCCCCCCCCCCCCCCCCCCCCACCGTAACAAAGGCCCCGCGCCGGTGGGGGGGGGTCCGCCACGGTCCCCGCGGGGCGGGGGTGCGCGCTGCACCTTCCCTCCTGCACCACCCCGGGGGTGGGGAGGGGGGAGCGGTGGTGAGAGATGCCCCGGTCCCGGGGGAAGCCGAGTGCGAGTCCTCGCCCCGCGGTGTCGTCCCCAGGGCGGGGGAGGCGCGAAGGGCCCCCCCGCCCTCCCCCCCCCCCCGGTAATGGCCAGTGCGCGACTGGCTCCTCGGGGCTCGTGGCCGCCAGCGCCCCGTGGCACAGGCGCGTGTGCCGCTTTCCCCCGGTAACAAAGGAGAGACGCCCCCTCCCCGCCGGCTCCAGCCTGCTCCCCCAGCACGGCGGCGGGGGGGCTGCAGAGATGCTGGGGACGACCCGAGGGAGCAGCGGCTCTCCAAGCATCTCCCACTTCCCCCCCCCCCCCCCCCCAGCGCTGCTGGCTGGGAGCTCTCTCGCCCCCGAGGCTGGGGAGCCCCCCCCCCCCCACCCGTGTCAGTGAGGCAACTGCGGCACCGCCGCTGCCCGCGGGACGTGACGGCGGAAATCCTGCCCGTGCGCTGGCCCGCGCCGGCCGCGCCGGGAGGAGGGAGCGCTGCCTGCATGGCGGCTGCCCAGCTCACCGCCCCCCCCCCAGCGCTGGGCTCCCTCACCCAGCTGTGCAGGGCTGCATCCCCCCCCCACCCCCCCCCCCCCAGCTTGGCGCGGGGGGGGGGGGCTTGTGCGAGCCCCAAGGGGCAGCAGGACAAACCCACGTTAGGCACAAGACCTAGAGCATGCCCCAAAGCCCCCCGTCCTTTGGGGTGGGGGTCCCGGAGGAAGGTGTGGGAGCAGCGGGGATGCAGGTCAGGGCTGGCAGGGAGGGGCGGGAGCAGACCTGTCCTCCAGCAGGGATTTGCGGATGAGGAGGGAAGAGCGGGCAGGTGGATTTAGGGATGAGGAGGGAAGAGGGGGAGCCGTGGGGGGGCAGAGGGGGGTCATGCAGCTCGAACGTAACCCAACTCTTCTTATACCACTGCTATTCCCGGTGCTGCCGAGGGACCAGCGGCTAAGTTTAGACCCAGCCGAGGTTACGACCTTTTTTTTTTAAAGGCCAGGGGGGTGATGGCTCGCGTGGCACAGCGGCAGGGCCGGAGGGGTGCGAGCCTCTGCCGGGGTTCGCGGTGCCCCAGCCGCAGCCCGCCGGGGGGGGGTGGGGGGGGGGGGGGGGTTCTCCGGGGCAGCTTCTGCACAAACAGGAGGCCCCTGTGTTTGCTCGGCAAACACCGCAGCGCTGGGCGCCCTGTGCCGGGGCGGGCAGAGTGCGGCCGGGATGAGCCAACGCGGCCCCTTCTGCCCCCACGGACCGGTCGATATCTCGCCCGCCCCCTTCCTCCCCCCCCCCCCCCTTTCCTCCCCGCCCCCCCCCAGCCCCGCGCTGCAACCGCGCGTGCCGCCCGGCCCACCCGGAATGGCGGCGCGCACCCAACATGGCCCCACGCGTGGGGGCGGTGGGCTCTGCCGCCACCTCCCGGCCTGCCCCCCCGCTGCCAGCCCCTCGCCCCCCCCCCCCCCCCTCCCCGGCCTGGGGGGCAGCCACGGGTTTCTTGCAGAGGCGCCGAGCTCGGACGCGGAAATTACTACAGCTCTGTGTTTAATTAGCAAGCGAGTCCCCACGCACGGAGAGGAGGGAGGGGGGCTGCCCGCGGAGCTGGGGTGGGGGGGGGTGTCTGGCGGCCGCGGAGCCGGGCAGCGCATCCTCGCACCGGCTCCCCGCCCCCGCCGCTCGCCTGCGGGGCGGGACCCGCGGCCGCCGCCGCTCCGTGCCTGGTTCCCGGGCCGGTGCTGCGGAGGAGCGGGGGCTGCTGACCCCCCCCATCCCACCCCCCCAGCGGCCCCGCCTGCCCGATCTCCCGCCCCGGCCGGGCCCACGGTCGCACGGGTGGTCCCGCGTCCCAGCCTTTGCCCCGGCTGCGGGCAGCCGGTGACCCCACAGCCCGCGCCGCTGCATCCCCCCCCCCCCCCCCCCCGGGTCCTCCACGCCATCCGCGCTCTCAGGTCTCCCCTTACTTTTCCCCTGCCCGCTTGTTGGAGCCCTCCCTGCTGGCCCTCTCACCTTGGGGCCCCTCCAAAGCTAACACCCCAAACCACTGAAGGTCCCGATCCGGTCCAGTTTCAGCCCAAAGCAGCCCCCGGGCACGGCCTTCCACGCCCAATCCCCAGGCAGTGCCCACTTGCGGCTGGCGAGGGTCTTGCGCCAGAGAGAGGGACGGGCAGCTCTTGCCCCAGATGGGAGGAAGGGGAGGGTGGAGGAGAGCAACGGGGGGCCAAAGCTGGACCCCTCCTTCGTGTCCTCTTCAGCCAGCGTGGACTCAGGCTTCAGGGGCAGCAACTGGGAAAGGAGCATCTGGGATAAACAGGAGAGTGGGGTGAGAGCGGAGTTGCCCGTGCTCGTGGTGATCAGCCTCGTACCCCCTTGTACCCCACTGCCCACACCTACCTTAAGGCTCGGGCAGGACATAAAATGGTGCCTGTGACATTGCATCCAGACACGGGGGAGGGCTAGACCAGCAGCTCCTGCAGTCTGAAAGGATTTTGCTGTCCAAAACAGCAGGCAGGCAGCTGCTGTGAGCATCTGCCTGCGTGCAGATTGTCCTGCTTTTGTCAAACCGTCCCCGTCCCCCCCCCCCCCCCCAACACTTGGAAGGTAACAGGCTTCAGCCCCTGCTCCTTTTGTTGATGCTGAGCACCTCTGTGTGCTCAGGCTGCCGTATGGCATTTTTTTTTTTTTTTTTTTCTTTTTTTTTCCAGAGGGCCGGTGGGGAGGACGGACCTACCCCGCATACCTGCTGCTAAAGATGAGGGGGAGGCAGGAGCAGAGCAGGTGCGAGGAAGGGGGGGCCCCCCGTCTGCTGGGAATCCTCTAGGTTATCTGTGCAGGCGGGCATGTGCTGATCGCACAGCTGGGGCACTGCTGGCAGCCTCCTGCGGCAGGGAGGCAGGGGTTGGGAGGTGCACTGGGTGCAGTGGAGGCATGGCATAGCTGCCCAGGGAAGCAGCCTGAGGTGGCCGTTCCGTATCTGTCCCTCCCGTGGGTGCTGAGCTAAGGCTGAAGACGTCTTTGTGCAGCTCTTTTCCGTAGCGAGTTAATTGAAGTGGACACGGGCATCTTCAGCGAGGAGTGAAAGTGGTGAGTCATAGCAGGAGCAGTCTTGTGATTTTAGTTCACGTCCTAACTACTTCCCTGTAGCTTTCCCAGGGTGACGTGAAGGCAAAGGTGATCGGGCTCAGGTTAGGGTTTGGGTAAGAAGGAGCCGGGTAGATTTGAAAGCCAAAATAATTATTGCTGTAATTGCTGAGGATAAAAGATTTACCCAAGTGAAGAAGCCCTTAGCTGGTACACTGACAGGGGCTCCTGGCCTTAAAGAGGGGCTACCGGGGGGTAGTACTGAGCTTAGGAGTGAAAATCCCGGTCTAACGGGATGCTCCTTCCCTCTGAAACGTCAGAACCAGGCAGTGACCATGACTGTAATTTCTGGTGGCTGCTGACACGGGGAAGAGTTAGACAGTACCAGTCTACCACTAAAAGCCTCTCCAGGCAACCTGGGAAGTCCCACAGGCAGCCTGCCCCAGACCAGAGAGCACTAAAAAAGCTTTTGTCTGTCTGCTGTCTTGTACTGCTGGTGCTCCTTGGGAGCTGAGTTCTAATGCTACGGTCACCCTAGAGCTGAGGCTGTTGAACTGAACAGGAGGGAGCAGTAGGAATTCCTCCAGTAGCTGGAATTTGGGACCACCGTTCGTTCCAGGTTCAAACAGAACCTCCCCAAATTGCCCCATCCCACTCCTGAAACCTCCCTCAGCTCTCTCCCTGTCCCTCCTACCTGTAGCCTCTGTCCTGGTAGGGACACAGTCTGAACGCTGGCAGAGAGCAGAACTAAGAGGAGGAAAAGCGAGCAAGGCCACGACTGAAGCCCCGGCATCTTCTTATCCCAGGGCTGGCGGGAGGCGAGGCAGGACCTGCAGCACCCCTATCAGATGCAGTCCCCAACCCCTCTTTGGCTTTATAGCTTTGGTTCTGGCAGGCTCCTGGCCCCCTGCTCTCTGCTGAACTACCCCCCCGGAGCTCCTTAACCTTTCAGCCCTTTTGTCCAGGGTGATATATTTCAGGGTGAGCTCAGCAAGACCCCTTCCTCTAAAGAAAAAGGACACAAAGGTATTTACTGAGTGTCTGGGAAGACAAATGCGAGTTGAGCTGCTGCTGGCCAGGACCTGGAGGTATCTGTCAGGGTCAGGAATGGGGTGACACTTTGAAACACGTCCCAAACAAGGATCTTGGAGGCTGGATTGCATAGTGATATTGAAGATACTCCTTGTAGGCAGAGTGCTGTTGATGCTACTTCTCTAATCAGCATGAGTGTGAACTACAGCTCAGCTAGCAGTAGGCACGCTGCTGGCTGCGTGGAGCTGACACAGATTCGACTCTGTGACAATACAGGCTTTCTTTTTTTAATATTTATACCTTGGTGAGCTGGTTGGCCTGGGAATGAAGAGCTCTTGCTGCAGGTATGTGGGTTCCACCACTAACTCGGTGGAATTCGTAGCGGTGGCAGGAGTGTGGGTCTAGTACTAGTGGGCATATAATTTGCGGGTTGGTTGTCCTGAGTCACCATATGGCGGGCTGGGCTGAGTTTCCAGAGGAACCGGCACAGAAAAGAGCTTGTTGAGGCTCAGCTTGCACTTTCTCAAGCTCGGGCGCACAATGGAAGCCGGACAGCAAGGAGCAGATTCCTACCTCCTAAATCTTCTGGCCATTAGTTCCCCCCCCCCCCTTTGTTTACCTCTCCCATTTTACTGTAGTTTCTCACCAGTTGAACAAGGCAATGAGGTCACTGTTTGGAGATCAGGGTGCAGAAGTCAGCCTGGGTGTGAAGACAGAAACTAATCAGGAAAGTTTTTCAGGGGAGAGGAATGGGGGGGACTGTACTCCAGTACAGGATTAGTAGTGGCTGTGCTGGGTGAGTTTAATAACACCTTCAACTTCCCTTTCTTCAGTACTGTTGCACAAAGCAGTTGGGTCAAAACTTGACAGGCAGTGTTCTGCTGCCTGCTTTTGTTTATTTTTTTTTTTTTAAGGAAAGAAGAAAATTAGAAAAAAAAAAAAAAAGGTATTTGACATAGATAACAAAAGTCACAGTTCAGATATTTGTCCTGTCTTTTTTTTCCCCTCCTTTCGTCCCTTCCTTCCCAGTATTTTGCACTTGCCATTGCAGATTTGTGTGTCCCTTTCTTCCCAGCCCAAGGAGCCAGGAAGTTTTCCGAACCGTTTTGCATCCAGTCCATTAAAAGTGAGTGTGGGTCTTCAGTCTGGAGCACCCATGCTGGAAGCAGGAGAGACTTTGCACAGGTGGGGACATCCCAGTAATCCAAGTATGTTAGCTCCACCTGATACCTGCGACCTGTGGGTCCTGCTGGTTCCAGAGCAATGCTCTGGTGATCCTGTCTGGCAGTCCCCTGCCACCCCCACACCTGGGCCAGCTATCCAAGGGCATGCCAGCCAAAAAAAAAAAAAAAAAAAAAAAAAAAAGACCCCAGACATTTGGTAGGCAACAGGATTACTTTCATACCAGCTTTTAAAACTAAAAAGCATCATGGGATGGTAAGTGAGCACGTGTTCATCCCACACACAGGATATCTCAGAGGATGTTCTGTACTTCCTGGTCACATCTAGCAGCTGAGTCAGCCTGCTAGAGCATTCATGCTCTGGGCAAGACAGCTGCATCTCAGGTTGAACACACCCATTCCAGGAGTCAGCTCTTTCCTAAGCAAAAGGTAAGTATAAAAGCCAGGGCACTTTGTTTTTGATAGGAAACGTAGGTGTGGTTTGATGTGGCATCCCTTGAATGTGGTGGCCCCCATACTGCAAGAAGAATGCCAGAAATGTGTGTGCGACTTCTCCAAATTCCAGCCTCCTTGCATGCAGACTGAGCCCTGCAGGGATGGACAGGCTCTGAGCTCCTGAGTGATGGGTCCGCTCCTTGGCTCCAGCAAAAGCTGAGGCTAGGAAGAGGGAAGAAGTCATCACTCTCCCACACCAAGCAAGAAACTGGAGGCTGTAGAAAATGTGCACATTTTCTTGCAAATTTGTAAATCCAGCAAAGCCTGGATAAATTTTAGGTGCTCAGTGACTGAGGTGCTGTGAAGTTGGAGCTGCTCCGCGTCCCAGATACTTGCCGGGACTGCAGTAGAACTGAATAGTCACTCTGACATGTCTTGACAATGACTATGAAGTGAAAAGGCTTTGGCAGACAACAAGTCCCCAATTGCCCCAGTTTTCTCAGACTCAAATAGGTCACTGTCCTTCTTTCCTCTCTGGTGCTAACAAGTTTCTTCTATAAAAACCCTTCCCCCTCTGATGCTGGGGCACTGATTCTAGAGCTTGCGAGACCACTAGAAAAGTGGTCTCTTGTTAAATCACTATTAGTCTTTTATTAACAGGTGCTTGTAAAGGAAAGGAGCAGGGAACTGGAGTGTGGGAGGACCAGGAACTGGGTGAAGTACCCTGGGAGGAACACCCCTTAGCCCACGGTGATGGAAAGGCCGATGGTTGCTGCAGCCTCTAGAAGCAAGGACAATATTCACATCATTACCCTGGTACCATGTGAAGGCATTGGGAGCCCACCATGGTCAGAAGTCCCTCAGAGAAGGACAACGCCACTGATCTTGGCACCGAGTAATCCCACTGCCTCAGAAGCAAGGGAGTGGGATTACTCCTTCAGTAGCAATTCCTGGTCATCACGGCAGCCACCAAAGTAGCTGCTTGCAAGGAATAGAAGGGCAGCAACCAGCTGCTTAAGGAGCAGTCACTGCGTCGATGTTCAAACCCCTCCTGGGTTTTGCTTCATCTTTCTGCAAGACTCCCTTTGTCCGTGATACGGGATTGCTGATTCCTCCAATGCTGGGTGGGAGAGGCCAGGAAGAAGAGGGGGATGCTCCACCTGAACAGCTCGCAGAAAGGGACCGACAGCAGCAGCTCCCACTGACTGACATTCCACTCTCACTTGACCAGGCAGTGCTGTGGCCAGGAAAGAACAAAAGGTGGAATGCAAAGCAGTGAAGGAGCCACCGTGTCAGACCAGTCACAGGCTGCCAAACTCTCCTTCTGTCTCAGAAAAGCAGCTGTGCGGCTCTTCTGAAGGAAAATGTTTAGCTACTTGTGGAAAAGCACGGCCTGAAGGTAAGGCAGTGCTTAGTTTTATGACCACCTGGCTTCCTCCAGCCACCCATTCATCTCTCCCTCACTGCAGTACTGTCAACATATTGTCGCACAGATTTACGGCACAGACTTGTAAAGCCTTGAGCCCGGATAGGAATTTATATACGAGGTCCTTTTTCTTTTATTCCCGTTTGTGAGTGACATACCCTGTGGGTGGTGGTGGTGGGAGTCACATACAGCATGCACAACACTGTGTTGTGTTTACTGTTCACGCCGTAGCTGCTGCCTGTCTCCCACAGCCTTCACTGAATATTTTATCAGGGAGGATGGGAGAGGGGGGACGAGAGCGCTGCAGCTTCCTGATTTTGGTATTTCACACGATTGTCCCTGTGACGCTGGGGTGTTCTGGTGTTCTCTTATTGCTGCTTATGCAGCCAGGCCAGAGAAGCGAGCAGCAGGATCTACTTGGTTCTACCTGGTGGCAAACCAAGGGTGACCACAACTGCAAGAACTTGGTAGGGTCCTCAGAGACCGAGAATGCGGAAGATCTGCCAGAACCTGCTGATAGGACCCTCCCGATTCCTGCCCAGCTAGCGACTAGTCTGCTTTCTAGGCAGCTGACAGATAAGAGGAAATAATTCTGTACTAAGAGCTCTGGGGCAAATGCCAATTTGCCTGTGAGACAGGAGGTTAAAGGCTGTTTTTGTGATTAACTCGAATTCACATTCAGGGCACTTCATGTTCGCATGTCAGTCTAAGGAGTGCCAGGACTGACTTGAACACTGACGTGCTATTCCTTGAAAGAAAGAGCTTAAGTGTCAGTCTTACTTGAAACGTAATTGGATTTGCAGCAAATACATTCCAAAAAGCACAGCAAGGTTACCAGTATACTTGGTAACTTGAGCAAAGCACTTCGCCAAAGATAATTCTAAAGTTTTTATGTTTGCTTTTAAAAGTTTTGGTTTTTTAAGTTGTATTTTGTTCCTACTCACTTTGCATATTCTCTGTTGAAGCACTCTTATCTACAGCCTAAGCTAGCCTTTCTCTCTCTCCCCTCGCCCCCAAGTCCCTCAAATCTTCTTTGAGATCTGTACAAGAAAAAGACGCAGGTAACTTCCCCTCAAAGCCCTGCTGGACTTTGCAGGGCAAGAGTTTCAAAAAAAGGGCCTAGAGCCAGCAAAATCACAGTGGTCCTGTGTTAAGAAAAGCTGAATGGTGTACTTACAGCCACATGCAAAATGGGAAGGGAATGCACATTTTGTACTGGGTGGTTAGTTTAGCTCTTAGAAAGAATTTCTTCCAAAGATGTTTTTTTTTTTTTTTTTTTTTAAATCAGAGCAGCTTGCTTTCATCTGCAAAGCCAGGGCAAAACCAGTGAAAGCAGCTGCTGTGTTCACCACTGTCTGTCTTTGTGGAGATACCAAAAGACAGGATGGGAATTGCTTTAGCGTGGTGCGTAACTTCCATTTTGTCCTCTTTTAAAGCACTGTCATATTATGGGGTAGTTCAGACGAGAGAAGACAACTGCTGTATAAAACAAGTTTTATTTTTAGTTAAACAAAGTGGCAGATGGTTCCCTCAGCGCAGCCGGCGGGCTGAAGATCTGGTGATGGGAGTTGTTTTGGTGGGGGTTTCCTCCTCTCTTAGTTCTGCCAGTAGCTCTAAAGAGAGTAAAACGTGTGAATAACCAGCACTCCGCTGCCTTGACCACAGAAATCTACAGGCCACCTAGGCAGCTCTCTGAAGCCCTATATGCCTTTTGCCCGT